CCCCATTTTAGTATCATCTGCAAATCTGATCCGCAGAGTGGTCAACCCCTATTCCAGGTCATTGATGAAAAGACTGAACAGGATCTGTCCCAAGATAGACCCCTGGGGAACACCACTCGTCACCAACCATCATACTGACAATTCCCCATTAAAAGTAATCCTCTACTTTCGGTCTGTCAACCATGCCCTAATTTGTTGGACAGTGCAGCGGTCTATTCCAAAACTCCTCAATTTCTCAGCCAGGATATCATGGGGCACTTTGTCAAAGGCCTTGCTGAAATCCAGGTAAACCACATCAACTGCATCCCCTCCACCTAGGCACCTCGAAACCTTGTCATAGAATTCCACAAGGTTCACCTGGTAGGACCTGTTTTTGTAGAAGCCCTGTTGCATGGCCACTAACCTCCCTTCCCTGTCTAGGGTTTCCAGAGCACTTCCTGTTATGAGCCTTTCCATTGTCTTTCCCAGAATGGACACAAGGCTAACTGGCCTGTAATTCCTCATGTCCCCTCTACTACCCTTTTTGAATATTGGGACCACTGACACCACCCTCCAGTCCTCTAGAACATGGATCCTCAAACTATGGCCTGTGGGACGGATCCAGCCTGCCGTGTCCATTTATCCGGGCTGTGCCACCGATCGCAGCCTGTGCGCACGCTTGCTGCCTCGCCACAGGGGCAGGGAGGGCTTGCTCACTCAGAGATGGTTTTGGACTCATTGAGGGATCTCTGCTGCCGCCCACCTCCCCCACACGTGTGTGCTCGCTGCCCACCTCACAGCGCGGACGGGGAGGCGATGGCTTGCTCACTTGGAAATGGTTTTGGATTCGCTGGAAGATCTCCAAGCGAGCGAGCCACTGCCGCGCACGCCCAATGCCGCCTCGTGCGCACCCAACACCGCCTCACCAGCCTGCGCACCCAGACACCCCCACCTCACCAGCCCACATGGATCACCACTGCCTTTCAATTGGCCCCCTATTGAAAAAGTTTGAGGACCCCTGCTCTAGAACCTCACCTGTTCTCCACAAGGCCTCAAAAGTGGAGGCCTGGGGATGTGAGAGTACCCCAACCAACTCCCTAAGTACCCTCAGGTGAAACCCATCAGGGCCTGGCACCTTTGTAACATCCAGTGTCCTGAGGAGCTCCTTGACCTCTAGGTGGGTGACTCTAATCTGTGCCCCTAAATCCCCAGCCTCATTCGATCCCCCATGTGGATCTCCCCTGTCCTGCTTTGGGAAGAACACAGAGGCAAAAGAGTCATTTAGCATCTGTGCCTGTTCACTCCCATCAGTCACCGAATCCCCTTCCTCCTCATTAAGTGGTCCCACCACCTGTCTCCCCTTCCACTTGCTATTTACATGTTATCCGTGCTTGAGGTCCACTGGTGCCATCCCATTCCTTCTCAAGCAGACAATAATTATTTCTGGGGCAATTCATACACTGAAAAAAATGTGTGCAGAGGGTCAGTGGGGCTGCACAGTCTACTCTTGGGCCCTGCCACAGGCAACCCCTTTCGCAGTTGGAGGTGCATTTGGTCAGTATGTGAAGAAACTCAGCACACATGTTGATTTTACATGTGAGGAGCTCATCTGTGCAACTATGGACCTCCCCACATGTTAAGGAGCTTTATGTATGCATTAGTATGTAAATTAATCTTCCGATGTGGTGTAAACATGCAGTGAGTAGGGGGAGCACCCAAGAGGCCTATCATCAACAGAAGACGCAATTGCCAAGCATGTGCACAGTCAGGGAAGAAGCAAGCCTGAGTGGTGGTCTCCTCTTTTGCTCTGTCAACGCATAAAGGTTCATCTGTGGTGCTCCCATGAAAGCTAATCAATTCTTCAGAGAGAGAGAAAGTGTAAAATAGCCTTGTAGGCTTCCCATTGTCTTTCTCCTGGTGTTCCAGCTTAGGTGGCCTCCACTTCCCTTGGTTATCACCTCAGGGCTACTGAAGAATCATCTTGCCCCCAGGAGAGGAGAGGAGAGGAGAGGAGAGGAGAGGAGAGGAGAGGAGAGGGTTGTAGCTCATTGGTAGAGCACCCGCTGTAACTACAAAAGGCCAGGGTTCAGTTGCTGGACAGCTCCAAGTAGCCTTGAGAGAGACTGGAGATCAACTGACAATGATACTCTGCTAAATGATCTGCCTGGTTAAAAAGCAATTTCCTTTGCTCATTAGATCCTCAGTTCCCACCTGAGGTGACCTTATGCAGCCCCAAATGCACTGTAAGGCTATTCAAAAGCCATCATACCCCAAGGGAAAGAGAACATGTCAAACACTTTCAAACACTTCTCACCCTGTAATTTATGTTTGTTTTTTTAATTGCTCCTTATTTTAATTTTCCACTTTGTGAGCTATACCTGAAATGGTGTATAAATATCTCACATAAAAAGAAACATTTTTGTTGAAAACATCTCCATGTCAGTTGACTCTTTCATAGGTCCTGTGAAAATTCACATCCCAGAGATAAATTTTCCTGTGTTTAATATTTCAAGTTAACACATTAATTACTTAAAATTCTAATCTTGTAGCTTTATACATTAAAAAGAGGTTTAACGAGGCTGTCAAATTTGCTTATGCAGATTCAAAAGCATCCAGAAATCACCCAACATTCAGTAGCAGAACAAAAAATCATTTTATTCATGTAGGATTTGTGGGGCTGTCACAGATGCAGGCTACATGTACAGTGCAAGGAGACTGCCCCTAGCTTCTCTTTTCTAAGCTTTTTGTAATGGAAAGTACACATAGTTAATTCACAACCAGATTCTGCAGATAATTATTCTTTAGTGTAACCAATGTAAGCCAAGTAATGGATGGAGAACTGGAAGCAAGTCTGGTAAAGTTATAGGGCAATCCTACAGATGTCTTCTCAGAACCAAGGATTTTCACATTTGAAGGAACTTGATAGCAGGTGCGTAGGGTTGCAGCTTTGATTTATTTGCCAGATTTTTTTGTTTCTGAGAACCTGTATGGCATAGTATCCATTTCACATAGTTTTAAATGTTCATTTTACAAAGTAAATCTGAGAAATGCATTTTATCATGTAATGAAATAAGTGAATGTTGAAAAGACACTGAGCATAGAACACTGGATTGAACCAAAGTTTGCCACGCATGTTTAGAACTTTTCACCTCTACAGAGTAGAAACAGTGTGCCATAGTGATTAGAGATAGAATTTAAGTGAAAGGTCATACATTTGATTTCTTGCTCATCCGTTAAACTGACCTGTTACTCTTCTGACATTGCCTGCTTCATATTATAACTGAAGGATAAAAAGGATTACTCTGCCATGCAGCACCTAAAGCTCTTATACACATATAAATTTAATGTATTTTTATTTTTGGATTTTACTTTAATAACAGTTTTAAAGCAGTTTTAACTCTAACCACAGTTATCATATACTTAGTAGTGCTTTCATCTTAACTCTACTTACTATAACAACAAAGCATCAGTACAAAAGTTAATCTCTAACAACATTTTCGGAATTCTCATTTATTTATTTATTTATTTGTTTATTTAAAACATTTCTATGCCACCCCCATCGCAACAAAGCTTCGGGGCGGCTCACAACATTCATAAAAAAAATACAATTAATAATTTAAAATAATTTATGCAACCATTCTTCCTATAACAGTGAAGCATTCATTGAAATGTAAAATATTGTCAGAGATTCACTTTTATACAAATACAGATTTGAGGAGTATAAAAACATAGTATGATTTAAAAGGTCATTACTCTGTAATACCAAGCACCAAACTAGATGTGTGAAGACACTTAATATGTCTCTTATGCTGTTGTGAGATGGAAACATCATTATATGCTTTTTGGTACCACGACCTTTTTATTCTCCCAATATTTTAATGTTTAAAAGATTTTAATTATGTTTTGCTTCAGTCGTGGGTTATCAGTTTTATTATTGTTTGGAGTATTTATGATCTTTTACATTGTTGTATTTACTGAATTTGTAAGCCGTCCAGAGATGCAAAGTGATTGGACAGGTTAGAAATATCCCAAATAAATATATAAACTGGAAAGTTTCACTTTTGTTTTCAACTAACTTCAGTTTAGCATCATGCCTGTACGATAAACACTTGTTAATCTTAAATATGCATTGCTGAGAAAAGCCAGCTTCATAACTCAAGGTTTGAAGTTAGCTTGTTTCAACAAACCATGATTAAGATTAGATTGTTGGGGCTGGATGAAATTACAGATTTCATATAATGAATCTGCCTGCCTAGCAAACCTGATTTATTGGGCAATTCTGAAATGCAGTAACTAAATCAATAGTAAATCAAAAACAGAAATGTAGAATATTTCTGCTATTCCTGTGTCCCCGACAGAGGAGAGAGTAGAGCAAATGTAAGCCTATGGCTCACAGCAATTCATTTCCATCATGATATCTGAATTCAGCCATAGGCAACTAAGATTTCTTATCTATTGTAATGTTTTGGTTCTGCATTGTGTTAGCAAACATTTATCACTGACTTTTATCTGTCTCATAAAATCTGAAAGATATTTAAACAGGCTATGTTAGTCACATTGTATTGCAGATAGTCCTTTAAAAAGGCGAAACAGAGGTTTGTTTTTAGTGTAGTATATGTGTGACTCTGTCCAGATTGTATAACAATATTAAGAGGAGATGGATTTATTGCAATAACTCAAAATAATCCCTTTTATTTAACACCTGCTTGATGCTGTTTTGATTATTGTCTTTAATACTTTGCTCCTTGTCCAGATATTGAAACCAACAGAAGTCATCCTTTGAGCTTAAAATTGTGATTAATGTCTTCAGATATCTCTCTGCTTGAAAAATCTCTTACACTGGTTTTTCTTTCCTCTTACATATTTATTTTCCTGTTGAAATCACAAATTGTAATCAAAGGTCTCAGGATACCAAATTCTTCTTTTTTTCTGCAACACTTGGCTTTCTATTGTACTTAATACACTGTATTAACTTATACTATATATGCAATTAATTGTATATCTTCACTTGTTCCTTCTAGTATCTACATGCCAATGGAATTGTTCACCGCGATTTGAAACCAGAAAATCTACTGTATGCAACACCTGCTCCAGATGCACCTTTAAAAATAGGTAAATGTTGATACAATGTAGCTGCACAGTTCATTTCAATTCTGCAAAAAGAATACTCCTACTTTTGTTAACTTCTGATTATGCACAGATCATTCCACAACATTAATTTGCTAGTCTCTACTTGAGAGACCTCTGTACACACTACCAAACCCTTTGGAGTTTAGTTCGCAACAAATCCAAGGCCTAAATAATTATTCCTATCCTACGCATTATTTTGAATGACAGTATTTTCTATGATTCACGTATTCTTCTCTCTACCCTCTAGTGCACTCTTTGCTTTACATTTGTATTCAGAAATCCTCTGTTTGTGTGCCAGCATATATTCTCATACCATGATGCATTTTTAATATTAGTGTTTCCACCTGCTTTTTAACATTTTCTCTGCTTAGGAATGTTAAGTAAAATTTGTTGTTTGATTTCCAGCTACTTCCCCTTCTGCTTTGAAATTGCTGAGATAGAATTAACAGTACAAATTTGGATCCTAATGAAGTACTACTCATGGATTTGGGGGATTTTCTATGTCTCCCCTACTATAAATCTTCCAATGCCCCCTCCCCCAAAAAAGCCACTGCAGAGGGTTGGTGGATCCTCTGCACAGGATATGGCAAGCAGCTGCAGGAAAAAGGTGCATCAGCCAAAATCAATGGCATCCTACCCAGCCAGAATCAGAAGCAGTCTTCTATTCAAGTAATGGCATCTTTGCACACAAGCCATATTTTTCTAAGCTTAATATAGGATGTATTTATCTCAGAAAAATTCCCTTCTTGAATTTTTCTATTTTATTAGTAACAGTTTAGTATGAAATTTCCCAAGAGACAAAATAGTCTATTTCTTTAATTCCACAGTAGGTCATAAGAAAGGTTAAAAATTCTTATTTCTCTGCAACAGCTGATTTCGGACTATCCAAGATTGTTGCAGACCAAGTCACTATGAAAACAGTCTGTGGAACTCCAGGCTACTGTGGTAAGGTTCTTTACTGCTTTTATTGTATTATCTTTTCATTTGTGTTCACTTGTTTTAATGGCTTATAATGTCTGGTTTTAGGATGTCACACACAGATCCATGATAGCAAAAAATGCAGTTCACATTAAAAAGTGACAGGCTACATCCAGAATGAGGGAAATGGACTTCCATTTGCTCGCCTCCCTACTGAAGCCCCTGCCCCCCATGATTCCCAGATCTCCAGAGCAAATTTGAGGAAATTCTAGGGACTGCAAGTGAGAAGAACAATCTGTTACACAGATACCATTCGATAGGACCCATTGAAGGGTCCTGGCCCAAAGCAGAGATTCTCAGGCACAATAGCTTGCAAGAATCTTCCTTTCTGAACAGCCTATCTCTATGTACACATGAAGGGGCTACAGTTAAGCATGCTCAGCCTGTGTCACTTAAGGGCCCCTGCCTCCAAATAGGTAATCAGTGCAGATGTGCCTCCACACACAATACTTACACTTGAGTGGGGGTACTTTGTTACATAACCTGTATTTGCATATGGAGATGCCCAGTACAGTTATTATTTATAGGAAATCAAGCAAGATTCATTTACCTCTACGAATCAGGTCACTTTTCTGAAACTTTGAATTATATGATCAAGAAGTTATCCTTCAGACTGCATTATCCAAGCATACTTATGTACAATCACAAAGAGGATCACAGACTACTTATTTATAATCAAATACCAGGTAGAAAAACATTAGAATAATATGTAGCTTCATTTAAGAAAAACACTATTGACATTTAATCCATATATAAAGCTTTTTCAATATTTCTTTCCATCTGGTGAATTTTTGACAAACAATATTTTAATATAACATTAAATATTTAAATAAGTTAGCAAATGTTCAGATTAGATTGCTTTATGTTTTGATAGAAAGAGACAGATCCATATGCTTCAAAATGCTACCAGCCTCAAGGCTTTTAATAACAGGCATCTCAGACTAGAATAAACCAAAAGACAGAGGATTCAGAAATTAACCAGAGCCATACATATAATGTGTAGAAAAAAGCAGGATTCCACACTAAAAATATATGATACAGCTTCCTCCAGTGAGATATGGTGGTGGCAGTAAGGATTCATGAAGGGTGACAAAGTAGTTAACCACAAAATAAAAATAATGTTTTCATGCCCCCCACCCCCCCCACACACACACAGAGAGAAAGACAGAGGAATAGAGAGATCCAACATCAGGTAACCTGCTTAGAGGACATGCTTTTGGAGTCAGATTAGTTTCTCTTCTTCCCTTTTCCCAAACCTAGGACTAAAGAACTGGAGAAGCTTCCATAGCCCTTTTCTCAAGAATTGTCACCCTTTGTTCCCTCAATTGTTATGGAACTTTCAAAGGATGTTATTTCTGGCTGCTTTTGCATTCCCCTCCCATGGTGTTATTCTTTTTTTAATTTCTAAATTGTGGTGACTGTTTTGTGTTGTAAAATGCAGTGGCCTCTCTAACCCTGTGTGGACATAGGTGGCACTAAGGCTTTTCAAGGTTTCTGTGTCTTTACATTAAATGCCCTCCTTGCAGGTTCAGCCTATTTTCCTGTTTCCTGTATTTCACTATTTTAAAAAAGAAATGAATAAAAGGAATAAGTACTTAATCCCTCTCTCCCAGAAACAGAAAATGGACGTGAGGTAATTATAGGAAAGCTACTGAGAAATAACTCTCTAATCCACCACCCATGAAAAATACGAAGCAATAGGACAGATGGAGCCACAAGCAATGAACTTCTATTTGAAATTACTAGGAACCTTTGCTGAATGAAACTTATGGGTGAATAGGCATTATAGGGGGATGCTGGCATGGGAAAGGACATTGCTAATTAATATAGCACTATATTAAAAGCTGTGCAATACATCAATTTTAATTCTGCTTCCAGCTAATTGCCGAAAACAATGCCTTGACACCACTAAAGAAATCTATGGTTTAATGCAGCCAAAATGGACTTGAAGGCAGCTGGTGTGGGGAGGAGTTACATAGTGGCAGGGGTATAGGAGCGAAGCCCAGGAATCAGAGGCCCAGAGAAGAGAAACTGGGGCAAGCCTGGCTGTTCAGCAGTGAAAAGGAAACAAAAAAAAAAAAATGATGGGGCCAGAGGTTGGGAGAAAGGTAGCAGTCTGAGATGGGAGCAGTGGAGGTAGCAGAGAGTTGCAAAGGTAAGAGAAATGGTGGAGGCAAGGTCCGATTTCATAATTGTGTGTGCATCTTTAAAATTTGCAGTTTTCTTGAAATCTAAACAGTCCTACACCTTAAATTGATATGGCACTTTAAAAAAACAAATGCTATTTGTTTTTATGCTGTTCCTGTTATTCAAAGGGCTAGTCTATAAGAGGAATTTAACTCACTACTGTTTCACTAACGTTTTTTGGTTTTGTTTATATTCTCATCCTCATAGTATATTAACCAACCACAAGGTGGCAACATGGCATAGCTGCAATATAGTGAATTTTCATCTCTGAATTCAATTTTCATTCTGGTTGATTGCAATTTAAATTTTAAAACCAGAATTCCTTTATCCAGCACACACTGGAAAACTCAAGAGAGGCCCTGGAAGACACTGACACTGTGAAACTTCTGTGAGTGAGGGGCTTCTGCACAGTGTTTCATGTAAAGAAACCCAAGCTTCCATTTTGCACACGGGACTTAATTCTTTACTGATAGTTCTTCCTCTGGTCACATACTGTTTTCACTGTGTAGCAGTATTTCAGAACTCGGACGGAGTCTGATCCTGTGGTCTGTATTGCGTTTTGAAAGAGGCTGTAACAAAAGCTTGCACAATCAAATTGCAGGAGACAGTGGAGGAAAGGCAGGCTCCCCTTGAAGAAGGGACTGCATTCCCTCTTGTGCTTCTGGAAAACCTTCACATATGTGCAAGGAGAACCCAGCAACTGTACAAGGAAACGGTGGTATCTGATAGCATAATGATCAGAAATTGTTGACAGATTTGATATAATGCTCAAAATGGAAAACTATTATGTCTAAATATCCTTTGAATATTTATTCCTGAAATCCATTCTTCTAACAATTTTGAGGCCATGCTTAATGTACTCATTTCACAAAAAATGCACTTGCTGTTCTTCAGCCCATAATTTTATTTTACCCTGTCTGATTCTTTATTTGTAGAATTATCCTTTTTCTTCCCTCTGCCTGTGAGTAAACCCCATATATATTGGCCTCTTTCATTGTTATTTATTTCTACATTTAACTTTTGTTTCATTGACAAGGTTTTTATCATCTGCAGCACCAGAAATCTTACGAGGATGCGCCTATGGCCCAGAAGTAGACATGTGGTCCTTAGGAATAATCACCTATATCTTGTAAGTTTAGAGGAAATTATTATGCACAAAAATGTTTTATTTAACTGTTTATTTTCTAGGCACTGGTTGTTGTTTTGAACTGTGTCAACAACACAAGACATTTTGACCACTTTGTTTTAACCTATTTGTATTTATTGGTTTGAAGGATGCAAGGTCCTCTGATTATTTAAATCATGCATTTTAAAATAGTTGGTTCCCCCAAAGAGCAGTCATTCAGCTTTACTTCTTAAAATGGTAGAGTGAGAGGGAACAATAAAGCCATCAGGTCCTCCACCCCCCACCCCCCACTCCCGCTCAATGCAGAACATTTTCCCTAGGTAATAATGGTTCCTTTTGTCATATACCCTATTGTCAATACCTATATTTTTTCATGGTAACAACTACTTAATAGTACTGAAACTTCTTTGAAAAGAAGCACTTTTCCCACAGTGATACTCACAAATGAATTGGGATTTAAATTTTGGCTATAATTCTCTGTACTCATACCTGGAAGTAAGTCTTATTGAGCAAAGCAGACCATACTTCTGAATAAGCATGCCAGGATTTCACTGCACATCTCACTTACTGAGATTCAGGATCCCTACATTTTGCTTTACTGGGGCACTGTCTCTAGCCACTGCAGGCAGCCCTAAGGGGATAATAGGAAAGATGGTACCCATTTGGCATTGTCTCTTCTGGACTGGAATGATGGCATGGATGTCACCCCACTCTGCTCATGTTTTAGAAGGAACTCCAAATTGAGCAATTTTGGTGAGAGACGAAGGAACTTATTGGGAGAAATGCTCTGTGTGGTGATGCAGGGAGTTTGGGAAGCAGAACTGAAAAGAGGCAGGCCATGCACTGTTATCAGCTAGATATTTTTTGAAATCTCATTTGCATTAGCTGCACAAGTATTGAGGATTTGAAGACTAGATTAATCTACTTTGGACCAATAGATTGAACTACTCTTAGACTGCTGTGCACAATTAATTTCATTTTAAACATTTGTTCAAATTTTTTTGTGGTAGTGGTGCTAAAACGTGATTTTTATTTGCATCTTGGCATCATTGAACTTTTACATCTATGCACTTCATTATGTTCTGGATAACTTTACTGATTTTAAATTATAATTTGGTACTATCAAATGTCAGCCTCTCTACACATGTATTGTGGCTCTTCTTGTTGAACCAAAGTCATTTTAATTAAGGCAGAAATGAAAGATCTTAACCGAGAAAGGTGCCTGAAAACTGCTCGTGTACACCATGTTTTGCTGCAGCTGTGACAGTAGAGCTTCCTCTGCTGCTTCAGGTTGTCTCTTTTTAAACCCCAGAGCCTCCACAATGCTGCATCACCATGTAGCATCATTCTTAGGGGACATCTGGGGACAGAAGATGCCACCAGCCTCTTGGGCTACAGGAAGCACCTCCAGTAATCTTGACTTTTCCCCTTTTTTGGAGTGGCGGGGGGGCAAATTCAATGAAATGGCCCCAGTGTAACTACTAGGAGGACTTTTAGCACAACACCCATTTCATTCTGTGCCTTGGCACAACTGCACTTTACCATGTGGGCAGTGATTTTCCATTGCTGATGCTATAGTGGGTGTTGAGTTTTAATCAATGCTCAGTTTGGAAATCTTGGTGAAGACACCTGAATGGGAGCAGGGATGGATATCCTAACTGAGGTTATCACAGGAAAATGCAGGAAGCACCTTTCACCAATTTGGGTAGTGCACTAGCTACAGCCCTTGAATAGAAATATCTTTCTCTTATCTCTATAACTATATCTAGAGAGAGAAATATCTATAGAAGTAGAAATATGTGGGCCAACATTATTGATGCTGTAGTAATGTCCCATACATTATCTATTGAGCTGCCTTTGAAGACTGTTTGGAAACTTCGCTTGGTCCAAAATAAAGACAAAAGTCTACTGAATGGAACTGGGTAAAAAGGAATATAAATACTCAGTTAACAAAAGGCTGCACTGGCTCCCAGTCTGCTTCAGAGCACAATTTCATGTACTGATGTTAATCTTTAAAGTGGTAAACAGCTTGGGACTTACGTACCTACAGGGCTGCCTTTTCCCAGAAGAGTCTGTGCATGTAGGAGAGCTTCCTAAAGGCTGGGATAGTTGGTGCCCAGAGAAAAAGGCTTTTGCAGTGTTGGCTCCCCAGCTTAGTAATTATTTTCCAAGAGAGATTTGCTTGGCACAGAAAACATTATGGCCCAGATGAACATTTCATTCCTAGGACATTCCGCATTTAATTTAATTTTTATTTATTTTGCTTACACTAGCTTTTATACTCTCTGGCAATCATTGTATTTTCTTGCTTTTACTTTTTTAAATTTATACTATAATCTGTTCTAAGAATCCTTTGAGATACAGGAACAAATTATTAAATTACATTAAGTAACCTTGGGTAAACTTAGAGACAATGTATGCAAGAGTGCGTCTGTGTGTTCTGGAAAGTACAACTAGAATTGTCTTTAAAATGGTTTCAGTCTTAGTTGAATATTCTGAAAAACTGATTGACTCACTGTGCACTTTGCTTTGCTTCCTTGCAATTTGATTATTGTTTAGTCACTTTCAACAATGTTGAAACTATTAGGATACTGTATTAAACTGTATCTGGAGAACACTAAGAAAGTAGTTATCTTTATTGGTACTAGAATATTTTCTGTTTCATTTTGTGTCTGCAAAATGAATATAGTTAGGTTCAGGTTTCCTCCAGGCACCAGTGGCATTTGTGTGGTCTTGCAGAACGTGAAGTAAACTAGGAGAGAAATCCTGAGCTTCCAGGAAAAGTAGTGGAGTGGCTGCTGGATGTGATGGATCTTCTTATTCAAGGATGGAAAGGGAAGTCCATAGGCAAGGACCTCAGGTAGTAGATGAAAACTCTACCATTGTCATATGCAAACCACAAGTGAGGAAAGGTGGCACAAATCTAGGAAGTCACCGGCATGGTTAACGAGCAGAGTCAGGAAAGCCTTTGGGGAGAAAGAAAATTCCTTCAAGAAATGCAAGTTTTCCCCAAATGTACTGTCATAGAAGGGGACACACAAGAAGATTGCACAGGGAAGATCCAAGCAGACAATTAGAGAAGCAAGGAAGCAGTTTGAGGAGCATGTCACTAATAACATCAAGGCCAACGATTAAATAAATAAATATATCAAATGTAGGAAAACAGCTAGAGAAGCAGTTCGACCATTGGGCAAATCACCCAGTCCAGATGGTATCCATCCTAGAAGCCTTAACGAACTAAAATATGAAATTGCTTACTTTCTTACCAAAGTGTTTAATATGTCCCTAAAAACAGCCCTTATACCAGAGCAATGGAAAATGACTAATGTAACACCTATTTTTTAAAAAGGGAACTGGGGGAATCAGGAAAATTACAGGCCATTTAGCTTAATATCTGTTTGAAGTAAACTGCTTGAAAGCATGCTTAAAGATAGAATCAGTAAGCACATAGCTTTGGCAGATTTCTCAGCTGCATTTCTACCTGGATGAGCAGAGCCTTGCCACATACACTAGTAACATCTCATGTGAATTACTGTACTGTGCTGTTCATGGGGCTATCTTTGAAAATGGTCTGGACATTGCAGCTAATACAGAACAAGGTGGTGTAGCTGCTTACAAGAACTGGTCAAAAAGAACATACTATGCCCGTCTTCCATCAGCTGCATTGGCTCTCTGTTCCAGTAGGGGCCCAATTCAAAATGTTGTCTTTGACATATAAAGTCCTAGATGGCTTGGGACTAGGGTACCAGAGGGAGTGCCTCTCCCATATACTGTATTCCTACCCTCCCACTTAGACCCTCCTCAGAACTCCTCTGAGCAACCCCCAGTGAGCAAGGGAAGGGATAGGAGCGTGGCATTTTCGACAGTAGTGCCTAGACCAGTGGTAGCGAACCTATGGCACACGTGCACGCAGATCCCCCTCTGTTGGCACGTGAGCCAAGTCGCCCCAGCATCGCCCCAGCAGCTGAGGATCAGGTAACAGCGTACGTAGGGGCCACGCACATGCTCAGAAAGGGGTAGGGGCACCAGGCGATGACGTCACGAGCCACGACTCATTAGCCGCAACTCATCTGAGCTTTTGCATGGCCAGTCAGTGCGCTGCCAAGAATATATATATATTGATTGGACTGGCTGTAAGTAGTTTTTTTCTAAACAAAACCCTCAGTTTTCAGATTTTATTGCAGTGTTGGCACTTCGCGATAAATAAGTGGGTTTTGGGTTGCAGTTTGGATACTCGGTCTCTAAAAGGTTCATCATCACTATGTTAGGGTTAGAAAAATGAAGTGTCCTGGCATGAGTTTGACGGTTGGAATGTGTTTAGAATGGGCAGAAATTATGAGCTGTACGGGAAAAATTATTCAAGGAAGGTTTTTTCAAAATCGCCTTCTTTTCAATGGAATTTTCGAACTATATTAGGGTTAGGGGTGTGCCCCAAGGTAGGATTAGGGTTAGAAAAACACAGTGTCCTGGCATGATTTTGATGGTTGGAATGTGTTTAGAATGGGCAGAAATGATGAGCTGTGCAGAAACAGCTACTCAAGGAAGGCTTGTTCAAAACTGCCTTCTTTTCAATGCAACTTTAGCCCTATATTAGGGTTAAGGGTGTGCACCAGGGTAGGGTTAGGGCAGTGGTGGTGAACGTATGGCACATGTGCTACAGCAGGCACACAGATCCCTCTCTGTCAGTGCACAGGCCAGGTCGCCCCAGCATCGCCCCAGCAGCTGAACTTTGAATCACAGTGCACGTTGGGGCAATGCACACGCTCTGAAAGGAGTAGCAGCGGCAGGCCATGACATCACGAGCTGCGACTCATTAGCCGTGACTCATACACGCTTGCTCATGGCCGGTCAGTTTGCTGCCAAGGAGATTGAGTTGTTTTTTCTAAACTAAAACCTCAGTTTTCAGGTTTTCTTGTAGTGTTGGCACTTTGCGATACATAAGTGGGTTTTAGGTTGCAGTTTGGGCACTCGGTCTCTAAAAGGTTCGCCATCCCTGGCCTTGACTATGGAACTTACTCCTCAGGGACATATGGTTGGTGCCAACTCTTCTTTCCTTTAGGTGCCAGTTGAAAAGATTTTTGTTCCAACAAATTTTTGATTAATTTACTTAATTTACAATTTTGCATTTTGTTATGGAGTATTTATTTTTTGTAAATGCTTGTATTTATCATGCCTTGTGTGGTTTACATTTTATCCGGAAATGGCTTTATCTATTATTTTATTGTTTTATCTATTTTATCTGCTTTATTGTTTTATCAACTATATTGCATGCTGTTCCCAGCATTTGTAAGCCACCCAGAGAACCTCTGGGTTATAGGGCAGCATAGAAGTGGAAATAAATAAATAATAAATAAATAAATAACTACTGGATACTGTATAGTAAACCTCTAAAATGCTGCATCTAACATAATGGTTTCATGTAAAGCCTTTATTTTTATTTTTTTTCTGGCAAAACAATGCTAAACAATAAAGACTCTTTTAGTAGCATCATGTTTTCCATTCCCTTTTGGGATAAATGGATTGCTGGAGAAAGCCAGAAAAGATCCTGGTCTCTGAAATGTGTAGATAAGTGCACGGAAGGGTGTTCTTTGCCAGCTTGATCCATATGTAGTCTCAGAAGAGAATGGCAGGGCTCAACAAAGTTTGCCTCTACATGTTTTAGGAAATTAATTCCGCAGAGTCCTGGTAAATAACTTGCTTTTTAAACAACTGAGAAGACTTGGAAAGGTAATACTATTTTTTTTGTATTTCTGCATTGTTTTAATTGGCATAAAGTATTGCTTGTGTCAAGGAAGGTCTACCCCACTGATGTAACACATTTCTTTCAAATTTGCCCCTAGACTCTGTGGCTTTGAACCATTCTACGATGAAAGGGGCGACCAGTACATGTTCAAGAGGATTCTGAACTGTGAATATGATTTTGTTTCCCCCTGGTGGGATGATGTGTCTCTGAATGCCAAGGATTTGGTAAATTCAGCAAATTTTACCATTGCTTTTGGGATTATCAGAATAGCACCATATGCATGATTGGAGAACAATACCTCTTCAGTACCTCTAAATGTTCTTTTAGTGTAAGCTTTCAGCCTCCTTTCCATCCCCCTTTGTGAGACAGAAGAATAATGTGAACTGAGCTTCTCTCAGAACAATTGGACACATAGGTGGAGCCCTCACATCGTAAATGTCCTTGAGCAAGTGGTAATGGAATGAAGGCAAGCGCAAAATTCTTCTTGCTAGGTTTGTCAGTATCTAGGTTTCCAGTATCTAGGTTAAGTGTCTGAGATTGAACTATATGTTACATGTATTACAGAGCATGTAGCTGTGGATAATCTTGTTTTTTGCTTTGGTGCCAGGCAACCTGGCAACTCCTATGGCAGAGGGGCTCCTTATCCATCGCAGTTTTTAATTTGAGTTTTATAGGAACTATTTGCAGAGCCCCATGTTGGTAAACTAGCTTGGGAATAGTGTTTGGCACCATAAAGAAGAATAGTGGGCTGGGGGAGGGGGCTTATTTACTTACAGCATTTATAAAGTATTCCACATCTAGGCAGATTCCAAAGCTGTGCACAGTAAAATGTAAACAAATAAAAGGAGTAAAATACCATTTTAAAACTTGTTTAAAAAAAACAGAATACCAATAAAAACCATGGCTGATCAGTCAGGAAAGGCTTCTTGAAATAAAAGCAATTTTCAGGAGGTGCTGTAAACAGGGCGATGTTGAAGTCTGCCTGAGCTCCAGAGACAGAGCGTTGCACAGAAAGGGAGCCCCCACGCTGAATAGTCCTGTCTGGCTGCCTTCAGATCAGCCCATAGGTCCATGCAGACCCACCAGGGGCAAGCCAACTGATGGCTTCAGCAACTGGGCAGACTGATAAGGGAGAAATCACTCTCCCAGATACCTTGATCCCAAGTTGTTTGGGCTTTGTGCACTAATACCAGAACCTTAAACTCTGCTCGGCAGTGAATAGGCAGGCAATATAGATCCTTCAGCAAAGCATAATGAAAAGGGGCAACTCCTAGTAACAACAGCTGCATTAGCTCCAACTTCCAGACCAGCCTTAAGGGCAGCCCCATCTATAGGGCATTGCAGTAATTCAGTTTTAAGGGCATCGGCACCTATACCTGTGGCCAAGTGATCCTGGTCCAGAATAGGCCATAGCTGTACAAGTTGAGGCTGATGAAAGGCACTCTGAATTGCCATAGCTGATTGGCCCTTCTGGAGCACTGATGTTCTCCAGTTGATGGACCTAAACTTTCAAATTTGATCCAGGAAAGCAGTGAGCCCATTTCCTAGACTTGGAAAACACTCACCCAATGGGCTTCTGTCTTGCCAGGATTCCACTGCAGTTATCCAGCCCATGCCTGTGTCCAAGCACTTGCATGGCTCTCCTGATTCAGATATCACGGGGACACAGAGATCTTGGGTCATCAGCATACTAATGATCGTTGGCTCCAAATCCCCAAATGACTGATCCCAAGGCCAGGAGAACCAAAGCTTAAGAGGAGCATGATTGTTACATTGCTGTAAGCACTGTGACCACATCATCAGGCTGCAGTAACTGCAGCTGATCCCACCAAATCAGGCAGATGGTGGCATCAGATCCGGCCCAGACCAGTGCTGAAAGTGGCAGGCATGCTGTGGAGACAAGCATTTTGTCTGCAAAGGGCGGCGTTCGCTGCCAGGTGACACGAAGACGCTCCCCTCGGGGGTGCACCACCTCGCCGTGGGCACGACTATGAGCTCTAGCGCAGGCGTGGTCGCCTCCACTTGGCGCTTTATGCCACGTGTGCTCTAGGCGACACCCAGTGGGTGTCATTGACAGCAGCTCTCCAGCATGCCAAGGAGCACAGTGCTATGCGGTGCCCGAGAAGGCCCTTGGGGGCCATCGTGTCCTTGCCCAGCCCAAACACAAGTCAATGATTTCCCCTCCCAGTGCGGCAGTCCTGATCCTAATCGGGGCTGCGCACACCAGAGAGTTCTTGAAAAAGATTGTCCTCGGCAGCACACTAGGGGCAGAACTGTGAGAGAGTGAAAAGGGACGAGTCCCAAGTCCCTTGCTTGGAGCTCTTAGGAGTTTTCTTATTTCATGCTGTGGACAAGGGAGGGTGCGCAGTTGATCGGGAGAGCCACGGTGCGGGGTACCATTTCTTAGTCTGAAGTCCCCCTCTCTTTCTCTCTCACACACACAGATGCACACACCCACTCAGCCCCGCTGCTCTTAGAACAGCTGTAGAAGTGTTTTTGAGGTCCAGCTGTTCCTATATTGTTTCTGTGTAAGTGGTTTCTATAATCTCTTTTGTGCAGAGGAGGGTGAGATTGTCCGGCACTGTATGACCCACTTCTAGGCCACCCAGTTAAGCTGCACCACATTTTATTGCACTGCTCTGCCGAGATGAATGTTCACAACTACTGACCTGGTTCAGTGTTATCTGCATTAAAGATTCAGTTACTGCATTACAGATGTTCAGTTCCATTACCGAAAGTCTGGTCCCATGAGAGAATTGCATACTGAAAACATCTTATGATGCTAGGAAAATGCATCGAAATACCATGTTTTGCCTTTGTTTTATTCTGCCTGAAGATGGGATGGCATTGTTTTTTCTTTGTGCTGGTATCTTAAATACATTGTATGCTATTGAGTCTTGCAGGTTTTAGTGGGGCTTAGAATTGCAGATCACATGTCTTGACTTGATGGGGGTTGTTGCAGTAAAACTGGAGAGCCCTTGATCCAAATAATTATCTTCCCCCTTTCACCGCTAGAATTGATATTTTGGACCTGCTGGCGGTTTGCTAATCAGTTAGAAGTTCCAGTGCATGATGTTCATTTCTCATTAGCACCATCGAGCATCAGTGCAATACCATCCTGTGTGGTTCCTGCAAGTGGATCAAGCGTGGCACAGCAGGTTTGGGCACTGCCAAGCTTTACCAAAGCTGGGTTTTGGTGGTGGGTAGAATCCTTGGCTCCATCCCTCCCTTTGCTTCCACTTGGCATGGGTGGACACAGATGCAAGGTTTGACTTCAAATCATGCATTGCTCTGTTTGTTGATAGATACTGACAGTGCTGACAGTGTCAATCGTCAATTGGATAGACGATGGCAGATAAGGTGTGCAGCAGATTGGATTCTATAAGACTTGGATTGGATACTGTAAGGTTTTTGAGAAAATAGGTCATTTTCCTTACACTTTATTTTTCTTACTATGCAGGTGAAGAAACTAATTGTGCTTGATCCCAAGAAACGTCTTACCACATTTCAAGCTTTACAACATCCTTGGGTCACAGGGAAGGCTGCCAATTTTGCTCATATGGATACAGCCCAAAAGAAACTCCAGGAATTCAATGCTCGCCGTAAACTTAAGGTATGTTTCCAGAAGAACCTTTTTGCATAACTCTTTTCTCCCTCATACAAACCATGTCACCCAGGTTTAATTGACATAACAAGCTGTACCCTGGAAGGTAATTAAGCAATTCTTGCCCAGCATGCACCTTGGTTTAAACAAGCCATGATGGATTGATTGTTCAGGTTGCAGTGGTCATGCAAACCAGATCCTTAAGTAAGAGAGAATCTACCAGGAAGTGGTTCTAGCCTTGCTTTTGTCTGTACTGGGGACATACGGCCACTACATCAGTGCAACAAAGCTATGGTGCACTTGCAAGGAATGTAAACCATTTTTGTGATGTTTGTTTAAAAATTAGGCTGCAGTGAAAGCTGTTGTTGCATCAACACGTCTTGGAAGTGCAAGCTGCCACAGCACCCATGACAACAATAAGCTCAGCCAGAATCAGTCTCTGAGCCCAGAAAGTGATGTGGAGGAAAATGTGGTGAAGGAGGAAACAGCAAGCCTCACTGAAACTCAGGAAATGGACTCTCAGGAAGAAGCCTTTCAAGGAGAGCTATACACCACAGGATAGCTCAATGCAGCCAAGATCTGTCATTGTATGCACCAGCCAAGTTACTATTCAGCAAGAAAGAATCATAAGCAGGGCCAGTACGGGTGGCTTTGCTTTGACACAAAATGCACTGCTAGCTGGTGCTCAGAACTTCAATGCATGTGACTGCTTTTGGCGGGGGTGGGGGGTGATAAACAGACTTGTATTGGCATGCCATGGATAAAGTGATATTTACAGTAATCACAAGTGAAACTGAGTGCAAGGAGTGCATAGGTACTCCTTATGATTGAAACAGCATATATCCTGTAGAGTGCTTATAGATGGCCTCTGAAATGAATGGTGGTTGTGGCTTACACGGAATAGGCATTTTCTAGAGCTCATGGCATTTCTTTGACATTACTTCTTCCAAACTTATAATCACCCAGTAAGGTGATGGGCACTAAAATCCACCCACTGTTTTTAAAACATCATATGAAAGATTTTGCATTCATCAGTGAGAATGTATAAACTGTTTACAATTAAGAATTTAGAGATTTATACACGAAAACATTCCACAGAATCCTGTAAAACTGAAAGGGTTTCTTCAGATCTTTGAAACCCTACGTTCTTGAAGTTTATGCTAGGAAAGTGTTACCTCTATCACCAACCATTTCTATACAGTATTTTAACAAGAACCAAAATATATCTCTACCATTTCAGTATCCAGTATAGCTTCAGCAAAGCAATGTTAAAAGTGCACGATCCAAAACGGTAGATGTCAAAGGACAGTTGAAACTAGTTGAGGCTATGAAATTGTGCCCGTTTATAGGGATGGGGATTCTCAATCTGCAATTATAGAACTTACACTATAAAACTTACACTGTGAGAAAGGTATCCAACTCCATGGTACTTTTCCTGTAGGAAAGCATTCAAGTTACAACAGGAAACAAAAATGTTTGCGTGCCTGGCCATGCAGGAGAGCTGTGCAACCGTCCTTTTTTACCTGTCAGTGTAGACATCATCAGTACGGGTGTGCTAATAAAGACCAAAATAAGGGCAGATTCATGCACCAGTGTAAAAAGGTGCCACAATCTTTATTCTGCCAAGTTTAGTGTATGTGAATTGAAAATCATCCAAATGAATATCTAACATTTGTCTGCAAGTCATTTTATAACACTTGAATTTCTTAATGAATATGAGAAAAGATATTAAAAACTGGCAAATGACAACTTAGAGCACAATACTATATGTATCTACTCAGAAGTAACCCCAGGGCTTATTCCCAGATAAATGCATGTAGGTTTACAATCTTAATTGCTTTCCAAGCACTAGCCCATTATATTATCTTCAGTCATTATTTATCTTCTTATTTGCATTTTAGCAGTATTTTACAATCTTAGTTAGGATAAGAATATGCAAATCAGCCAAGAATATTATTAGTTTTGTGTGTTCTGTTCAACTGCAGTTAAAATTAAGGATAATGGAATATTACGGATAGGGGGTTTGCTGAACTACAACTACTTTGGTTACTATAGACTAGAATACACTGGTTTTACAGTGAAAGCATCCTATGTGAATGTTTAAAACTATAATACTTTGACACACCTTTGAAGCACGAATCAGAACATACATTAAAAATATTTGTTTTGCACAAGGAACCATTATTCCCAAGCACAAGAAAAAAACATTTCAAGATACTGTTCTTGGAAGGAAAAATAGTGGTGGATGTTATAATCGTGTTGACAGCTTAATGCCTTGCCAGGGAATGGGGGCAACAGCATGAACCCAAACCCTTCTCATATTTGTGGATAGCTCTTTTTCAATGCAGTGGAAAGCTCTGGACATGAATAATGATTCCCCACTGCAAATGATAGGAGTTCTGTTACATATACAAAAGGCATACTGCATGTCCTGTTGCAATTAAAACAGTGTTGCTTCCTTCACTGTACACAATGACTTGCATTATTAGGAGTCCAGGGTTACTACTGTTAGGAACAAAACTTTTAAAAAATACACAGACTTTGTGGGTATAAGGCATGTGCACTGCTTTACTAGTTTGTTATAAGATTATGGTGCATTCTTTTCTTTCAGGAATCCAGAAAATTAGCCTTTTATAAGACATCATGGTTTGGCAACTTTGTAGCTCATAGTCTATTTAAGTCATGGTTGCTGAATTCTGTATTGTATGCCACGTGAACCTAGCCACACAAGCAAACCATGTGTTGTTAACCGCAAACAACTCAAAGAGAAACCACAGTTTGTTGTTTAAATAAGCTAGACTTCACAACCCAAATGTAAACCCAGAACTGTGGATTGTTCATGAATGGATTGTGTGTGAGGCTACAGGCAGCGAGCAAGAGTGGTAACGGGAAAGAGAGCTGCTCTGCATACCAGAACTACGGTCCATGAAGGCATCTGGAACACAGAGAGGGAGTGGGTGAAGGAGGAAGGAAATAAACTGCACAGAGATTGGGAAAAGAACTGTGGTTTGTCTGTCCGCGAACTCCTGTGGTAAGGCAACAAACCATTTGTTAACTGTGAGTTAAGTAAATTATGGGCTTGTGTTAGGTGCAAACCAGGTTATAAACTAGCACTTTAGCAAAATACATGAAGTCATTATGTTATAAACTGCACAAAACATAAGACTTTCAACATCTTGTACCACTGTGATCTGAAAGGTGATTAAAACACCTAGAGATTAAAAGTACATTCCAGAATCCATAGATTCTTTCAATAGGTCTTTGATCATGTATGCCAATTTGAGTGATCAGGTATGTCCAAGTATTTGTACACTTGGAAAAATAAAGATGACATACTGATCTTGTGCTACCATTTTCTGTGGCAATGAAATTGCATTACAACTAAGTCATAATTTTTCATACTCTTGTTGTTAGAATGCATCAATTGCTCTTTTTTCTTATGTTAAAGCAACATTGCTATTGTAGAGATTTGTCATCCATTGTTTAAAATAATGCTGACCTTGAACAAAGTAATGGGGGGGGTGATGATTACATTGCATTTATATCCCACCATTCTTCCTTTTGCAAGGGATCTAAGGCAACACAAGGTTGTCCTTTTTTTTACATTTTCTTACAAGGTTCCCCTCGTTGCCATTTTATCCTCAGAGCAACCCGGTGAGGTAGTAGCTAGCCTAAAGTCACCCAGTGGGGTTTATGGCTGAGTAGGGGCCAAACCCAGATCTCCTGAGTCTCAGTCTGTCACTCCTTATGAGTACACCACACTGGTTCTCACACTGGGATGGCTATGGAATGACATTGTGGCTGAAAAACCGCTATTGCACATTCATCCAGAAAATGGGAAATTAGATCATCTCCCTAAATCCTAGTCAGACTGTTTACAAGGATTCCTTTCCTATAAGTCTCATTCCTCGATGCACAAACAGCTGGACAGTATGTCCGAATTATTAAATATTGTAGTTCATCAAGGGAGGGTGCTAAATCCAAAATTTGTGTGGATCCTTGAAATTCCAGTGGTTAAGAGTCTCTCAGTTTAATCTTATGTGTTATTTACTCAGAATTAAGCCTCATGGAATTCAAGTGGGTCTTGCTCCCAAGTCAGAATGCATAGGATTTTGTAGTTGCCTAGGGAATAGTTTTGCTATTTCATGTGATGATACAAAAACTTATCCTAAAAGAAATTAGATATACATTGACTGCATGTTTGTGGAGTTAGACAAGAAAGCTTTTATTATTGGGGCAGGTGAGATGAGAACTAAAACTACCGTTTCCCAGAAATATGCTTTCATCAGTGCTAAGTTCTCTTGTTACTTCAACAGTTCCTGGTTGCAAAGCAATAGGAAGTCAATAATCAGACTCAAGTACACTAAAATTTGCTGTTGAATGGTTCCCCATGCTAGAGCCACAGCAAACCCAGGAATGAGATAGTCGTCATCAATGGTTAATGTGCAAAGCAAGAAGTGGGACTTGTAGCAAAAAGTTATACAGTGATATGTGGCTTTTAAGTTCCTGCCACTCCATTTCACTTCTCCTTCCCAACCAGTTTTCCATTCCACCACCTGCTGCAACCTCCAAGGGTCAGCATTCCTTGCCCAGTGAGCACGCTGTGTTCTCACCTGGCTATTTTGGACTGGAAGCTCCCCTTAGCTAGTTGGTTTATTTCTACAGTTTTTTGTACTGTTTTTGCAAACATTAGGGCTTCCCTGTGTATCCTACGACTTCCTTCTTGTTTGTAAGTGGTGCTGGTTTGGCTATGTAAGGCCTGGCTCTCAGAACACATCAGTACATTCACTTTTGATATATATGACAGGCAGTCATGCACAGGGACAGAGAGCTCTTCCTGCTGCTGCATTTTCTCTATTGATTTTGTATTGGGTATATTAAAATAATTTGCACTATAATACTAGGGTGTTACTGATACATGTGCAGTATCAGTAACCACTGATAAGGGCAGATAAACTGGCCAGATACAGAAACAGGGTAGTTGTGGCTACTGGATAAGCTCTCTTTAAGGCTGATCTGGCAAGGCAGACAAGGAAAAATGTTAGAAATTCACCAGTGCTAATGTTGCCCCAGAATAATCTCAAAAGTGCAATACAGATTGCGCTTCTAGTATAAAAGCACCAGAAGAATCAGATTTTTAAAATGGACCATAAATGATACACTAGATTAAGAACCGGTGTGTAATCTGCAATGCAGAAATAAATATAAAATGATTGTAAGCCATTGATGTAGAGGACTTTGACTGCAAAGAACAGCTGTTGAGTGGGTTCTAGTAGGGGAGTCTTTTGAGTATATAAAGAGTTAGATTGAGAATACTGGAAGTTCCATTGATCCCAGAGGATCTACTTTAAATATTCTAAATATACTGCTAGAATGTGTCTTTCTTGACTCTTCAAAGCATCCAACACAGAAGTCAGACAATCCTGTACATGTCTACTCAGAAGATAGCCTTACAAAGTTCAAAAGGACTTACTCCCAAGTCAGTGCGAACTGCAGATGTAAGCCTATTAAAATCAAAGTAGTTTAAGCATGCCTAACTGATTGTGGCCTAAGGTGCATGGCTTAAGTATGAGGGCCTAGCTTTCTTTTTCCAGTTAATGAATATTGTAAACATGAGATATGGTTATGCAAGATGTATTTTACAGAAGTAGAATTAGTAAAGGACCTTTAGGGTTGGTTTGGCCAACATTTGTGTGTACTTAACTAGACTGTATTTGCTGTCTCTTTCTCACCTCTATTTGCTTCCCCCAAACATCTGGCACCTTTTTACTTGATTTGGCTCTCAAAAATATTTTATTAATAAGTGTTACTAATGAAAACAAGAAATACCTGCTTGTGGAGATGCCTGCAAGTATAAACAGGGATCTGATTGATCAAGCTTGCATAACATGTCTCTTACACAATTAAGTATTATAGAGGTCTTAGAACTAGACATTTGTTTGCCTTTTCTGCAACTTTTATAAGTGAACTTACCTAGCCTTTTCTATGCCAATACAGAGAATGATAATCTACTGAATGAAAAAGATAAACTTGGATGCTGAAAAAATTAAGTGATTTGCATGTACCATATGAAAATAAATAAGTACGTCCAGGATTGCTGTGTTGTCATTGTGCAAGAACCAAGGCCTTTACAGAAACCTGTAAAGCATCACGTGTCTGCAAGACACAAAAATGCAATAAGCCAAAAGCTAGCTCAACATTCAGTAGCAGGTGTGTTCTAGAACCTGTTTAAATGGAGTATCTTCGCAACTCAAGTTCTGGATGGGATTTTGAAGAGCTCTGCTTGTAAAGAAAGGCCTGCATCCCTAGATGAGAAAGTTCCGGACTGAGAGAGAAAGAGGTTTCTAGCAATCAGAAGAATTTCTGTGTCTCTTCCTGCAGTGCAAGGTTCCAAAAATAAACAGTGGTACCTCGGTTCACAAACACCTCAGTTCATGATCAAATTGGGTCGCGAACAGAAATTTCAGAAAAATTTTGCCTCAGGTCACGAACTCTGCATCAGGTGACAATCATTACCGCTTCCCGTCTTCCCTGCACAGGCGTGACTGAGGTTGTGCTGGGGGGTGGGTGTAGATGGCTCTGATCATGCTCGGGGTCCGCGATTGTGCCCATGCTCCCTGCCCGAGCACAACTGTGATCGCGCCCGTCTATGGCTGCAATCACGGTCACACTCGTTCAGGGAACATGAGCACAATCGCGGTCATGCTCAGCAGGGGAGATGACCGTGATCTTTGTTGTTGTCACTTTGCTTCAAATTTTTGTGATTAAAAAAATAGTTACAGAATGGATTAACCTTATTTACATTGAACCTTATGGGGAAATTTGACTTGGCTCATGACCAATTTGGGTTGTGACCAGAATCGTAGAACGGATTATGTTTGTGAGCCAAGGTACCACTCTATTAGATTTCTACCAAATAATGTTTGGATTCCAACATCAGATTACTGTGCCTCACTGAAGACAGCACAATAGATATTTCTACATGAAATCTCAAAAACATGCTGGCTTGAACTTGCATTCAGTATTTCCTTATTGTAAGAACCAGAGTCCCAGAAAGACATGAGTTCAGGGCAAGGAGACACGTGTGATTAAGGCTACTAAAACAGAGATGTAGCTACTAAAACAGAGCAGAAATAGGATGTTTTCTTAAAAAAAAAAAAAAAGCTACAGCAGAAGCAGACATATGGCATGGGAAACGAAGAAATATTAGCTTCAGAATGGCTGATAGTTAAAAGCTTTGATCTTTATAGAGGGGCATGGGGTAATAGAAAAATCGTGTTGTATAACCAGTGCTAAGGCTAAAGGAAGGCTGTTGAGTAAAACAAAAAGCAAACTCAAATGAAGGTATAGCAGTTATACAGAAGAAAGGATGGGAGAAGTAGATGCAGGAAGGGCCTTTCTCATTGCAAAACTGGCCCACAGACACCATCAAACCAAAGGGATGCATGCAGTGTATTTCAGGTAAAGCAATCTCAGATAACAGCTGGGGAAATGTGTCTGCCATTCAACCAGAGGAAACCGTGCTGAGTTAATGGTTTGAACCGGGCCAAAGCAGCTTCATATGGTTGTATGAGTGAGGAAGTTCATACCTATTTATTTGAGAAAAAACACCAACAACTGAACATAATACTTTAATATACATAATAAACATTGTATATAAATAAGCTTATATCAGTTATAATATAGAACAAATAGATCACAATTCTCATATATGCATCATCTTGATGACTCCAAACATGCCTGTTAGTCAGAATAACTGTGGTCACTTGTGCCAGCAAGTGAATTTTTAAAAAATTCTGCTCAAATCATTGAAATATATTGACAATTTAAGCAAAAGTAGTCATTCTGAAATGGTCAAATTATATTCTACCAAAACTCTCCCATGAAAACATTCTGGGCAAGTAACAGAAGAGGAATCACAAAAATAATTATGACTTCTTAAATATTATAATCAAGCTATTCCTACAGAGAATGTTGGATCAATGCCCATGTATGACCCAATTAAACACTGGGAACTCTTAGTGAAGCAGGGCGGGGTGGGGGGCGGTGTCCTACAATTCCAAGCATGCCACAGTCAACAGCCTGCTAGGAGCTATAGGACCCTTTCCTGTATTAATATGTACTAGATTATCCCTTTAGCTGATTTGCTATCTGAAAGCTGATGGCCCTGTACTTCTAATAACCATAGGAAATCTGAATATATGTGCATGCTTCCTTATTATACTACTTATCATAGTAGTACTAACATTTTCTGTGGCTGCTATTCACATTTTGGATAGAACATAGACAATGACATGCTATTCTGCTTCTTAAGCTTAAGAAGAACCATTATATGGAAACAGGACTCAACTATGCATCAAACATTTCAGTTTTGAAGATATTAGCATTTTGAAACAGAACCACTTATGTCAGGATTAATAAGCAAGACAGAGTATATGAGAGGATGAGCACTTATTTATATACCAACAAACTATTAGCCCTTTGAAAAAGTAAAACAGTGCAAGTTCGATGTCTTATAGCCCAAATCTTCAGCATGTTTCCTCAAATGATAGTCACAACTCACAATGTGTTTAACTGGAGTTACTACCCAGCAAGCATGGTGAGGAGCGGTGGGGGATTGAACAGCAGGGCTTTGCTGCTATTGCTTAGTTTCTGTAGGGAGTGACATTAACTACAGAAAGATGTCAGCTGATTTCACCACACACAAAGCACCCCACAGAGGAAACAACTGCAATAGGAAATTAGCAGTCTATTAGACTTTAACAAACTTTTGCCATCTCTTCCCGCTCACAGAATGTTTTTACAGTTAAGTGACTAGTAGTGCTGAATTGCAATTTTAAGGGGAAATGTTCAAAAACTTCAGAAACAGCAGTTGACACATGACTTATGTGACGGAAGAAGCAGGAAAGCTAATACTAGCACCGTTAAAATACCTTGGACCTTACCGTGTTCTAAAACTATTACACAGATGCTTGGAAGAATATCAGACTTTCTGCTGGGCCATTATTACCACCACCTAACTAAGTCTAAGATCATGCATTTTAACCTGAGGGGCTACATTGCACAGGCACAGATCCCTACACGCAGAGTTAATTAGTAAATTATGCCAGTTCTAAACAACTTCCCCAGACCAACTTTCCAGATTTTCTTTGGAAGCAACGATTCACAAATATAGATTCAGACGATGCTGTCATTTTAAAATTCATTGCTATTTACATTATTTTTCCTGAGTTTAGTCAAAGGCTTATTCTCCAACACTTACCACAAGCACACAGGATGCATCTGCTAGGCCATCAAACATTGCAAGGACACTGAACAAGACAATTCTGATCTTGAACCCAGGGTGACCCAGGACCCAGTATAAGTCCAAATATTTCATAGCACAAAGCACAGGCTGGGTTATTAGATCCTTATACCCCCACAATCTAAGAAGTGATAGTTGCTTGCTTAGAGGATTAAATTCATGAAGAGGAAGACTATTCACAGATACTAGCTAAGATAGCTAAAGGCTACTTTTGGAATCAAGTGAAGCATACAACTGAATATGAAGAACAGGAAATGGCTACTACTGTCAAGCCTGGCTTCTAGGCTTTTAAATACAGCTGGTTGGCTACTCTGGATGGCTAGTCCAAGATGCCAGACTGGATAGTCCTGTGGGCTCATCCCAAGATGCACTATGCTCCACAAAAGTGCAGAAGCAGGTGCCTGCAGATTCCTAACTATCTGGGGAAGGACATTCCACAGTCATTGGAATGAACCAGCCTCTTCCTGCTGATTGATCTCTGTGAGCGGCATGGTGATAGCAGCATTCCTGGGAATCGCTGCCTCTGTGGAGATTGTGGTGAGGGTCAGCCCTCACACCATAATACACTTTTGTCCAGAGGAGGATGTGATATAGAGTGCCAACTGGAATCTGGTTGTGCCAGACAGTATCACAGGCAAGTGTTGGGTAGTGCACATGACATCACTGGTGATAGCCTTCCTCATGATTGCAAAGTGGAACTTACAGAGCTCAAACTGACTAGTCTGAATGCAAAACTCAATACACACAACAAATGTTCAATGTTAAACATTTAAGAAGGTCCCCTGCACTACAGCTAGCAAACCTCCCTTTAAGGCCCTTCAAATTCATCATGGAAGTTGAAAATGTAGCATAACAACTTTAGAAAGCAGATCTGAATGCTTGTATGAATCCACACTTTCCGGATAATGTCCCCTTTAAAAACCCACATGCAGAATCCCTGATTGTTCAGCATCTCTCAAAAGTGAACAATTATTCAATGCAAGTTTTTCAGTTAAATGAACTATTGTAGAGTTAGGCTTCCAGACTTTGTCTTTCAAGTTTTGCATGAAACACAGTTCCATGGCAATTCAAACTGACAGTATTTGAACGATCAGCAGGACTTGCTCTCTAAACTGGAGGGGTCTGTCAAGACTTCTGTTGAACTCCTACTTCTGTTCTGTGACCCAGAGCAAGCACTGAGGGTCCAATCACACAGGCTGCATATCATGCAATCACACCTGCAGCAGATTCTTGCACATGTTCCAGCTAAAACCTGCATCACGTGCAGACTCTTTTAATGTGCAGACTGCTCCCTTGAAGGATTGGGGCACATCTGTTCTACAATAGTTGGGGTAAAGCAGCCCCACCCCACAGCTTCTGTCTCACAGCCTTGGCAAGCCATATTTCTTAAGTTTTTCTTCTAGAATGCAATTCTGGTAACCCTGTTTTCTCCCCACATTCCAGCAATCTGGATGTAACAAGATTACTGCTGTCTTGAAAAAATGTCTGAGTTTGCTCTGTCTGTTGTAGTATGAGGCCTCACTTGGGTGGCCCAGTCTAAGACAGCAAGAATACTGATGCCTCCTCTAGCTACAGTTGCATGTAACAGCACACGTACAGCCCAAGATAGTAGCTGGGAAAGCAGATTCCCATTCCACTGCAATGCGGAAGAGCGAATGCATACTCCACCCGTGGTGGACAGCTCAGCACCTTGTGCACCTCAGAAAGGCACCTGCAGACAGGGTAACCAACCCAGCAACAGGATCTCTTGCTGAACCAGAATGTGTGCACATCCAAAAATAATTCAGACTAATCCATAGCTTTGGGTTTAAGCCAAGGTGTATGGCTGCCCATTATGGGAAACAGTATGTTGAACCAAATGTGCTGTTTGATCCAGCAGGACTCTTTCTGTATTCTTAATATAGTCTTTTGAAATCAATGAGACAAAGGCATATTTCCTCCTATTTGACTTACAAGGCCAAAGCAATGAACACAATCTATTTCTTAAAATTGGGCAAGTGCATTTACCAGGCAGTGGGTTGGATCTGGGTTTGTGTTATACTTAAGAGTAAATCCAAAGAAAATAATGCAAATCAAGTCAGTCATGGCTAATTCAAGTCCCAATGATTTCAATGGGTCTACTCAAAGTATAGCATAATCAAGATCCAATACATTACTGTAGAAAGTCACATTTTTTTCTGGGCTACAATTAATGATGATGATGCTTGCCAAAGGGTAAGTCTCATTGCACTCAGCAGGTCTTACTTCAGAGTAAATGTCTTTCCAACTGGTCTATGCAAACAGAATTATGGGCCCCAATAAGGAAAACACTACAGATCTTTACACAAAAAGGCTCTAGCCAAATCTAATTTTTAAAAATATGTGTAGAGTGGAAGAGGCTTGCAAAAGATACGATGAGTTTAAGGTCAGTACTGATTATGCCTTCAGAACTTTCCTGAGATCAGAATAAAAATTAGTCAGTGTACTGGCCATAGCTGTATCCACTGCAGACTGGGGCAGCATTCCACGCAGATCCGTCTGAATAAAACCGATCAAAAGGCTGTGTCTAGGATTGTCCTTGAGTGGGAAACAGAACCAACCACAAGGATGGTTAAATCCTCGGACAAAACTTGGTCTTACGTCACCATAGTCCAGGCTAACACCTGTATAAAAGAAGATACTGCAATGCGTTAAGAGTCTCATATAAAAGGAATGAACCTATTTTTTCTCTATGGAACATCTTTTACAGATTATTTAATGCCCTTGAGCAGTGGGTAACACCAGTTGCTAACACCAGAGAACGTGGAGAGGGAGGTGCTGTTCTACTAATGTCCTGCCTGTGGGATCCACATGGCAGCTGGTAGGCTGCTGTAAGAGGCTGGACTAGATGGACCTTTGATCTGATCCAGCGTGGCTCTTATGTTCTTAGGGAGCACTGCCTTGCTCCTGAGGTTACCAGCACCTGGTCATAGGAAGTCTGTTGGGAAGCAGTAGACTAGCACTTCCCTTCACAGCAGTCCCCCACGACCCATACTTAATTCCATCCTTAATTAAGGGCAGTTTTCGACAAACCAACATGCAGCGCAGGTTGGGAACAGGGTCACTACCTGACTTTTGATCAGTGATCAGAGATCATGGCAGAAGGAACTATAGAGCTAGAGGGGAATTTCCTGGAGACAACAGGTTTCCTATGCCAGTTGTGCCATATTCCAGCTCCGGCCTTGCCTAATCCAGTCCCTCAGGCAAAATACAGGCCTGGGTCCCCACCCTCTAACGGAAGAGTGGATCTCTTTTCCCATCAAAGTTGCTACCACAGTAGAAAAAGGTGTGGCTCTAGGATCGCTCTGACAATCTGAGGTACAGATCCCCATAACTCAAACCATCAATTATACAAATTTAACTTTCCTTTGTACTAAACAACTTTTGTACAGCACCTTCAAGCTGTGAATACAAGGGTATCTTCCCTTATAACATTACACTTTTTTCCTATGTTTAATTTTGACGATAAGAATGGCAACAAGCACAATGTTTTCATAGGTTGGAAACATTAGCCCAAACTGACACAAATTTCAGCAAGCTTAGGTGTACCTCACAGAGCTGAACTGGAAGAGAAAAGGATGTTTAATAAGAAATTACCACATGACAGAAGCCCTTCCTTGTAGTCTGTAGTGTACGAGAAGTCAACAAACTCTCTTGGCGCAATAATATTCCACAGTTGCCCAGCCGTGGTATAACGCATTACACAACAATTCTGCAGAGCAATCACAAAATGCAAGTTCAGGGACTATTCCTTTGTATACCAGAAGCAGTGGGTGGGGTGGGAATTTTGCTAGGGCTTGCTTTTTCCCCACAGACAATTTTCATTTCAAATATTCATTAGACACAATGACTGGGTGCCAAGTCCAAATACAGTATCAGGCAAACCAGCAGGTTCCAAGCCAGAATTCTGAGTTTTCTGGTGATTTATCCTTAGCAAGTACATGAGATAATACATGGATGACATTTAAATGCCCCAGTGTGAAGTGTAATGCAAGTAAGTCAAAGTACCTCAATAACCTTGGGTGTACGATACTTGAGATTCACATCTCCATACCCCCTGACAGCAGGCACAGAAACAACTGCACTGGCTGCTCTGAGGTCAGGGAGCAACCCCAGAGAGGAATTAGAGGAGGAGGAGAGGACTGGGGTGGCTGGGATAGTGGGCATTCTGAAGCCACTCTGGCCTCCTTTCCTCCCCCTCTGAGGTGCTGCTAGCTTAAATGCAGAGAGGGGAAGCCAGGAGGCAATGACTGCCTCTGGCCCTCCTCCCATTTGGCACTGGAGGAGAGCAAGCGCCCAAATGAAGAAGGGGTGTGCCTTACCATGTAGACAGCTTTCTGCACATTTGTATTTTTTCTTCAATTTAAGCCATGGAATATATCCTATTACATTTCTACATAATAGTTAACCCACATAGAAAATGTGTTTCAATTTTTTGCTCCAATATTTCAGTTCAAATACTTTTGTGCATTAGGACAAAAATAACGTAAGGAACTTTTCTTAGCTTTGTTTACTTAATACAAATAAAGTAAGCATGCTAAATTAGATCATTTTCCAAGGTATCAGAAAATTTTCAAATGTAAACCAAATGCATTCAGGGATGTTGATGGGGAACATGCTTAAAAACAAAAATGTGAAGAGACAGAAGTACAATATAAATTTCTCAACTCATTTAGCTGGACTCTATAAGGCAACATAGATTACTTGGGGTTAGCATGATACAACTTCAGGGTGACATACCCACCAAGTACAGTCCTACACATCCAAATCACAGGGATATCCACCTACAACATGGTAAATGTATTGGAAGCTGTCCCGAGGCTCATGCGAAGGCATACAAAAACTCCAAATATAAATAAATAAATATTCAGCTGACACCCCCCCAAAAAGACAATGTAATGTTCCCATATCCTAATTAAAGAAAAAAGTCTGATTATTCTTCAAATGCTCATGATTCATAAGACTTGCTGAGATGAATCCTCCGTAAACCGTTAAATAGGAAACATTAAGAAAGCTAGTCTTAGATTTTTGGTAAGAATTAAATTCAATGTGCAACAAAAAAACTATTAACATAAAGTCTTTTCTGTTGTGTGCTGAATTTAACTCTCCAGTATTCTTAATAATCAAGAAACTGGCTTAAAACCACACAAATCAGAACTGAAGTAGCCTGGCAAAGGTACAAAACCGAATAATCTGCAGAATTGTTATTTCTGTCCTTTGTTGAGGTTCCAGGACTCATTAAGATGCTATGCTGAAACCAAGACAGACTTGCTGAGGTTCACTTCTTGTCCAAGCAAAGATGCTTTGAAGATTATGATGTACTCACTGCTCAGGAGTCCTGCTTCAATTCACTAAGAGTAAAGCGAACAAATTGCAATGGCTTTTGCCGCCATTTCAGAAAGAATCGGTTTGAGCAAATGAAAGAAAGTGTTCAAAAGTACAGGCTTTAAATAAAAAATTAGGGCACAGGTAGGGAACCTGTGATCCACCTGATGGTATTATATTCCAATTCTCACCAGTCCTAGTCAACAGTTAGGGTCAATGGGAGTTGCAGTCCATCACTATCTGGAATGATACAGGTTACCCAACCTTGAATCAACCAAAATAAAGCTGTTTAAAACTCCATCAATCACAATGGGAGTCAATGAGAATTGCAACTGCTTAGCTTTGGCTTGATCAGGTCCCACTGACCATCCTATCAAAATTAATGCTTAAGTTATTATTGTGTTACATTTATACCCAAGGTGACTAAAAGATTCTCTTCTCCATTTTATTCTCAACAACCCTGTGAGGTAGGTGAGACTGAAAATTTGTGACTTGCTCAAAGTCACCCAGTGGGCTTCATGGCTGAGTGGGGATTAGAACCCAGAAATTCTAGGTCCCAGTACAGCTTTCTAACCACTACAAGTATACTAGCACATACCAAAAGTTCTGTGTCAAAGACTTGATCAATGTATGAATGGAACTCCTAGTCGCATAAATGTATAACACACGGGTAAAGCATTACCTCTTCAAACTCATTAACAATGTCCATTGAGGTCATTAGACTGTCCCAGTGTAGCCGGTAAGGTCCTGGACGTATGTGATCTACTATTCTGTTGGCCACATCCTCCACGATCCCTTGTGTTTTGTAGCTGCAGAATCAAATGTAAGACAAGGACGTTTAGAAGATATTAAAGTTCAGAATAAATATCTACCAGTTTGAAATATTTCCAGTATGAGTGATATGCATGCTAACTTCTCTTTATTTCCCATATCTAGAAAACCTGACAGCATTTGCTTCCAGATTAAAGTTTGTTCTCACTTCTTCCAATTCCACATCCCTTTCTCTCCATGCAAAAGGACTATGAATGTGGGGAACGGTGTGAGTATTCCTATTTTCAAATCATTTGCTCTCAGGTAGAGAAACTACCTTGTATCTGTCTGCCACACATTTTGTTTTTTTACATTATTTTTAAAGACTCTGCCACAAGGACTTACCCCCACCCCACAAAAAAAGTTACACAAGAACTCTTAAACCTCAGAGGATGACTAAAATTGCATGCAAAGAAAAAAAAAGACAATTCTGTGGCCTTCTGACATCTTTGTCCTGTCTAGGAGGATAAAGAATATTTTGGAGTCTGAGCGCTGATGTCCACTGACCTTGGTGTTCTGACTCTGAAAGTCCTGCTCCAGAGCTCTGGCTGCCTCCCCTTGAGGTCACAAGTGGGCCTCAGGGGCTGAAAAGGTTGTGCTGGTAGGCATGGAGGGGAGGAGGCCAGAGAAGGCTGTCTGCACACTGGGAAAGCACCACTTTGCCATAAGAGTTGGATCAGATGGCAACTGTTTATTTAGACTGCAAAACATTTCTTGAACAGTATTGAGGATCAGCTAGAACGATCCATGCACCAGTAGTATGATCTATGAAGTTTTCCAGCAGATGCTCCGTTAAAATAAATTAGAGCCAGCCAGAGACACAGTAGTGACCCCAGGTCCTCATTGCTGAAGTAGGAGGGTATTGCACCAGAAATTTTGCTGAGCAAGTACCCATACAAAAGCTCAGTTGATTGCATGCCCGCCCCTTCTGAAAAAGGGTACAAAATGTTAGCCTGACTCAAGGTCACTTGATGACCAGCAGCATTCAGGAATGGCAGTCATGGCACTGAGGGCATAACAGGCTAGTCCACAGGACACAACAGGGTTAATTTACCCCCGAGGAAGATGCCAGCCTCCATTATGAATATGCAAGCCCCAGCTGGAGACTGCTGAGGCTTGCCACATCATAAGAAACCCCCAGCCAGCTGGGCTATCTCCAGGTTAAACAACTCTCACATAGCCCACTATCTATGGGATCCTCAAAGGACTGGTGTGTTGTGCAAAGCAGACAAGTAACTCAGGGAACAATCCAACTCAGCTGAGTGGAACCCTCCCGATTCAGAGACTCACACTCATCCAGTGCAGAGCAGGAGGAGCGGAGAGGCGCTCTTCCCCTCCCTCCTCTTCCTGCTCTGCACTTCCACTGGATGGCTGGTTTTGGCCATCTGGCAATGGTGTTTCAGTAGAGGGAAGGAGGCTGGAGCAAAGTCAAGATATGCAGTATCGCTGCCACCCCACTCTCCTCCCCATCCCCTGAAATGCCCCTCATAAGCTCTCTCCTGAGGGCACTGTTCCAGCCTCAGAAAGCAGCCAGTGCAGTTCATTCCTTACCAGCTCTCAGGGAACTGGGGAGAGGGACAAAGAGTGCCAGTTCCCAGTTCTGTCAGAGCATTGTCTCCATCCAGCCTTGGAGCTGGGAACCAGCCTTGGAGCTGGTATCCTATCCCCTCCCCCCATGTTGTCTGAAGGCCATAGGATCATTCCCTTCAAGAGGATCCGCTTGTCCTCTAATTCAGCGAGATTCAGCCCCCTTGCAATGCTGTGTTGTACATGCTTACACATGCCTCTGTCTGCTAGAAATTATATTTGTAAAAGCCAAACTTACAGGTATCCACTGAATTCTTCTGATGGCTTACGCCAAACTGTAGCATCTTTCTGTAAAAGAACATGAGGATTATGGGATTTACAAAAATATGAAGATACCTCAATCACTTCATTCATTTAGAAGTGCGTATCTGTTGATGTTAAAAATACACACCTATGTTTAGTATTTTTAAATGCTTTGTACACTATCTTAAGCATCTATTGACTAAAATTAGAATATAAATATTTCAATAAAAAAGTAAAAATACAATAAAGATGTCAAAACACCTTTTGAAACTCCAGAGATCTTCAGTAACCTTCATTTTTTAGAAATTTGTTGAGTATACCTACATTAATTCAATTTTATGTACTTAAGTTATACTCAGTGAAGCAACACCATGCACAAAACATTTTAAAATACATTCTTCTGTTT